CTCAATTTCTTCAGAAATGTTTGCTCTACACGACAGACTTATTTGCAAAGAATTTCTGGCTTGAACTCTAGGACTTGGTTTTCTGAGATTTGAGTTTTCCAGAGGCCCTGATTTTAGGAGTTTTGATGGAGCCTTTGTATGCACCACCTGAGATCGGAAATTCTTCCAGCTATTCAGATCTTTTTTCAAATTTATTCTAGCTATTATGATCGTGCAATAATTGCAACTAGACGTATTTATACGTCACCGGGAGCCAAAGGGTTAAGGATTTTTAGAAAATGCAGAAGGCTTTTTCGGGTTTTGAAGGTTGTTGGTTGCCTGCAAAACCAATAAAAGCTTAACTGAAAAATCGGCGCCGGTCAGACGATGTAGTTAGGTGTCTAGTTTAAAACAAAACAAACCCGAACTCTCCAGCTTGAAGTATATTAAAAAATTTTGGGAAACACTTCAGGGTCCTTTTTGGACCTTGATCTAGAAAACTCCTAAACGGTAACACCTGGAGACAAAAAAAATTTTTCATTCCCGTAACTCATTAAGCCAAACATTTATGCGAAGTTTCGTCAAGATCGGATGTATAGTGTAGGAGATTATTTCTGAGGGGGAGCGCTCTTAATTTTTCTGTGAAAGTTTCTGTGGAGAAAGTACATTGAGTGTTCAAAACTCTAAGTAGTATAAATTCTCCAAACATTTAGATGAAAACAGAAATATTCCGTAAATCTCTATTAGGAAAAATAAGTCACAGTCAACTAGTGTCTAAATTCAGAAGTAAATTTAAAACAAATACGCACTGAAGCAGACAAGGTACATTTCTTCTTATACCATTCTTTTACATTACTTAAAAATGGACGCTTTTGGGGTTTTCTGCTAAAAAACATTGTTGAGTTTAAACTTAGAGACGAGTAATTTTTTGAAAGACATTTACGCGATTCGGTTCCTAGGCGACACACTGTGGCTCTCCTAACAGTTTGTATATTGTTAAAGTGCATACAGAATCCTGATGTGTGTTTTTAGCAAAAAATACGACACATCAACTAGTTTCCACTAACTATTTTTTGTCTGAATTATACTGCATGAGTGCGTTATGTCTTCTTTTAAAGGCTGCAAGTCCTTTACATATCACTAGTTCGTTGAGGAAGAGAAGACGTAGACGAAAAAACGTCTTTCTTCATTCTATATTTTCCAGAGCAAGAGCAAGGTATTATTGTAAGTAAGAGTCAAATTACATTCCAATACGACTACTTTAAAACTAAAAGAATGTTGAGGCTGCGTAAAATTAGATGGTCGCACAAATATTTAACGATCAACTCGAAATGAATGTACTTTATGAATTTTGAACACTACTGTTGAAATGTAATATAGTTTGTAAAAATAGTTCAGAACACGCAGAATGATGATAATCCTGTACATATTGAAAACATAATGTTGCTATTTGTCATAGTTACACTGACTGCGATGTTGTTACGAACGAATCTTTTTTGATTAATTGACTGATTTATTTAAGCGCAAGATCAATGAAATTTTGGATTTAAGCCTTTCATAATTCATTTTCTTTCATAAAAGTTATTCAAAATCTTGATTAAATGGATTTACGAATAAAAAATTTTAAAATAACACATAATCATGATCAAATAAATGAAATATTAACACATTCAATACTCATCAACATTTAATATTTTCAAAATATATTGAGCAAAAGCTAGACAAGCCCGATAGTGGTGTTTTAAATTCTTTCAATATTATCGCTAGATATATATACTATATAAATATGTATACTATTTTTTTAATATAATGTTTTTCTTCTATTGACTTATTTCTTTCTTAATGAAGTTTAATTAATACTATTACTTTAAATATATTCTTACCATATGCGTCATCTTCTCTACAGAACGATTTCAAGATTAGCTTTACAAGTTTAAACATTCAACTCGATAGCTAAGTATCACGTTATTATCCAGTTCTGGTAAAAAATATAGTACTCGTATGAACATTGTCATGTAACGCTGTATTCGTAAAGTTGAATATCCAAATGAATCTATGTTTAGTTCAATGATCGCATGATAGTCATTTGTTGTAACATTTAGGACACGAATGACATTTACTCAACCGTCGTTCTTTAGATTTTTCTTTGCGTAAATGTTCTTCTGGTATTCTTCAACATGAAGAGAGGCATTTAAACATAAACAGATGCAACTGTTTGATTTTTATTAAAAATGAAATTAAAATTGATAATATAAGAGTCCTTGTCATTCGGCATTTTATCAATACCATAATGCTCTGTATCCGCCGACATTCCTCTCCATGTCACTGCGATCTTTTTTTTATTAGTAATACAAACTACAAACGATGATATAAAACAGTAGATTTGAATGTACGAGTTAATTTAGCAAAAACAATGCATTTCCTTATCTCATCCCTTTAGGAAACTATTAACCACTTTTAGAAAATCGGAAATTGGTAACGCTATTCTCACAAAGTAAATTAATTTTGAGAATTTTCCGCTGTCATGCTTTTCCATTGGTAATAATATGACAGCAACATTGTTAATCATTCTAGAAAAAAATTGATATCATTTAGAAACAAGCTTAATCCATATATGAGACGAATTTGAGTATAACATCCATTTGGAATCCGGATTTTTATAGTTGAAGGCTCCTGTTGAAGTCTGAACTTTGTTCATTTGTATAGTATTCATTGCGATTTAGCACACCTCAATGATTTAACAATTCAAACAAGTCTAAAGTATAAAAGTGAGCTTATGATTCGCATGTACTATAAAAGTCTTATTTTTTACTTTAATACGTTCGAGTAATAATAATCTTATTATAATAATAATTTGAAGAAAAAAACAGTGAATAATTTCATATGAAGTAGAACAAGATAATGAGCGATAACCGAAAAAAGCCCATTGGTTGCTGTTGCTTTCATTCAACACAGAAATAACAAAAGAACTCATTTAAACTACAATGTACGAAGAGACTTGTGTTTGCGCGTGCACAAGAAAAATGAAAAAAAAGTCACAAAATAACATCCATACTAAGAACCTTAAAAAATACACTAATTAAAAATAGAGATGGTCAAAGTTAATTGTTGTTAGTGTGAGGAGATTAACAAAGTAAAACAAAAAATAGTAATATTCTCTATCTATTTGTCTTCTTTTACAAGTGAACGACAATTAAGACGTAAAATGAGAGCGTTTATTCTTTGTTTACAAGAAAACTAGAGAAGGTTTAAAACACATAATGGCCAATGATTTGTTCTTTGTTCTATTTAAAAAATTATTCGTTTTTCTTGAAATCGTTTTCTTAGTATTTCTCTTAGCTGAGAACGTTTTTGAGAGAAAATTGGTTCAGCCATTTCATATTGTCGAAGATCTTCATCGGATATGAGTGAAGTGCAATTATTATCCATTGATAGGTCGTCTTCTGTACCATTCTAAAACGAAAGAATTTCATGCATAAAAAAACATTTCAAAGAAACATGGACTTTTACGTTTTTTGTTTCTTTTAAAAACACATCGCTGAATTTCAACGTATACATCATTCAGAATTTCCTAGTTACTATGGGAGAGCTGTAGAATGAAAATGTATCACCCTCATAGAAAATTATATAAATGTACCATTTTACTTACCCATATGTGTTTTAGGTGCATTTCGAAATATGGCCATTCGTGACATAATTCCAACTGAAATTAGAGCAATAGTTAAGTAATTATTAAAGCAACAGATGTTTATCGTTTTAAACATATATCGTATATCGATTCAAGTTAGACTTATAATAGTTCTTGTTTGGTATGATTGCCTATGTAATGTTTTTCTCAAAAACTGAAACTATCCTATCCAAGATATTGTAGAAAATATACACAAACCTTCAGTTTTCTAGTTCGATAGACATCAGATAATTCCACCGTTTTTTGATAAAGAGATACTAGAATTAGAGAAAAAGAATGAAATTACTTATGATTCTCATAAGAGACACAATGCATACCAGAACATGGACAAGTGTCAACTGTTTGTCCAAGATGTTTTGTATTACAATCTATTCTATTGTGATTACAATGAGACGGTATACAACAACAACTTTCTTCATCGTTTAGAGTAGGACAGACAGCAGCAGAATGATCTAATAATAAAAAGATGAATGAGAGATATTCAATGATTCTCCAACAGAGTTCTAATCACATACCGTTTGCAGAACAAGCAACACACGTTGAAGAACATTCACAAGCATCAGTGGAACAACTATCGTCTGGCCCTGAAATAAGTAAATATAATCAAATGTTTATTCTCACCAAAAACATGAGAGAATTACTAAAATACCTGAGGAATAACCAAGATCTGTTCTAGTACCATCTGTTGTCGAGCATCGAGAAGATTCTTGAACGCCTTGAATAGAAAAAAAGATCATTAAAAAATATTTCATAGTCAAATCGCATAAAACCACCTACTGTTTTGTTCCTGACAACCACAGATTCGCGAAGACGATGAGGAGGAGGAAGATGAAAACAATGTTTCTTGCGAACAAGAAAATGTAGATGATAATTGCTGAACATTTTCACATAAATACGACTCAGATTGTTCTTGTTTGCTGCACACATCCTTAGCACATTGACAAGAACCGTTATTGCGTTCTGATAACGGACAACGATAATGATGAACAAGTTCATTTTCTTGTACAAGTGGCGTTGCTATTGCAGTTTGTTCTGACCAAGATTCGGAATTTGTGTGTATTGATCGATGAATTGGCTTTTTCGTATGAGCAGAACAAGAAAGAAGTGAGGATGAACAAGACTGGACTTTGGAAAATGATGATGAAGGAAATGTTCGATCACACAATACGTTATTAATATCGTTAGTTTCATTAATCAACTGTTGAGAAGGCTTTTTATTACTAATGGAAGATCGATTTATTTTACTGGAATAATTACATTTACTCCCACAACTACTATTTCGTCTACGATTACTAATAACCACCGGTGTCGGAGTCGATACCAGATCATTATTACTAGTTTTTGTGGTTTTTATAACATTCTCTATCAACTAAAAATATCGAAAGAAAAATGAATCTGATGTATGGAGAGAGACGGAAACGCATAGGCATTCACTTTAAATAGAGAGGTCAAAGTATATTTCTCTTACTTCGTTTGTATCATGATTTTTTGTTTGTCTTCGTAATTTTCGTTTTAGACGTCGTTGTTGTTTTTTCAACGTTTGTACTTCTTCTTCAGCTCGAAATTCTTCGCATAACAATTCTAATGTACTGAATCCTTGTTTTCTCTCAACAGCAACTTCGAAACCTAAGCAGAAAACAGAAAATTCATCTGATACAATAGTGAATACATCACGATGTACATACTTCGTCTCAAACAATCAATGCCGATATAACATAATAGTTGCCATGTTTGTTCTTCAGAACGCATTGTTTGACAAATCTTGTGGAATCGTTCATATAAATAAATACCCACACACGTTAAAATTTCCTCCTGAGCTATGTCCAATGTTTTTGCATGTCTTTCACGTCGGCTAAAATAACTACAAGTTTGAGAGAGGAGATTAATCAATAATCAAATATTAACATACCTTCCTTGAATTTCTTGTTCAGCACGTAATATCAAAGTTCCAACAAACACTTTTTCTGCTTGAACATGAATATGTTTATCATGCGGACAACATCTTAACCCATCATACAATGCTGGACAGAAACCTTTCTCTCCCGTATGATCAACATTATCAACAAGAATATCGTATGCTCTTAAAACTTTTGTTTTACATTCAGAACAAAATCTATGAGACAAAAAAAAATCCATGAAGGACATAGTTGCTAGATAATACCTATTATACAGCATACTTATGTTTACCAAGATAATTTTCCAATGTATCTAATAAGCCATCTGTATCGACTAGTATTGCCTCCTCACGGCATTCTTGTGACATACGTTCCCAAATCTCTTGCCAATCACTAAAATAAACAGGAACAATTTTCATTGTTTGTTTACAGGATCTTAAAATAAATTTTACTTTATCGATCTGGATTTATCTAATGAATGAATGTAACAACGACGATTCTTTTTTGATTTTGGAATGCTATCAATAAACGTGTTTAATTTTGATCTACAATTTGCCAAAAGTTCTGAAGACACCGTGAAGTTATTAAAAATTCTGTTTTATTACCCATTTACATAAAGTAGCGTGTAAATATTCTGTGGATCTAAACAATACGTTTCTTTCAAGGTTAATGTTCCTTGTTCTGTAACACATAATGGTTCTAGAGCCGGATGACGATATTGGATTATGGATTTCAAAAAGTTTTCGATACTAAAAAATAGAAAAAATAGAGTATCAGAAATGTATAACATCAACAATGTAAATATGGCAAACCTTTTTCGACAACCAATACATGTTACGGAATTGGCGACAACGCTGTGCAGTTGAGAACTTGGTACACAAAATGTTTCCAATATTTCATCATGTGTCAATGTTTGATAACGTTGTAAAAATGTATCATAGCTCTTTGGTTTTATATAACGGATTTGGTCGCATGATAAATAACAATTGTCAAACTGGAGTTTCATCTGAAAAAAATTCAACAAGCGTATTGATAGCGTTCAAAGCAAATCAAAATATACATACGATTAGCGTATCATCGATACTAATTGGTATTTGTCGCGTTTCAAAGGAAGATAATTCTTCTTTTTGACAAATAGCTACTAAACGTGCGACAGATTTTGACGGTATATTATCACAACAATGCATATTAGTGAAATATAAATATCTAGAACGAAACAGTTTCACAGGGCTATTGTCTAGCGATCTTCAAGTGCATCGGTGGTTATTATTTATCGAAAAAAAGACATATGCTCGTTTGTTCATAAAACCACAAAACTCTGTAAATATCAACTAAAGACTATTGCTTGAGTCTATCACGATATATGAGCTAGCTAGACAAAAAACAGTTGACAGAGCATTTTGAAGAGATATACTGTAGTTAAGCGTTGTGGTCTATATAAGGAAACTTCAAATAAAAACCTTTCACTGGATTTGGTTTCAAGTAAGCGTAGACTAAAATCATAATTGGCGTGAATCGCTGCGTATAATGAACATATCCTAGAGGTATATCTAAAAATTTTTATTGGTTTATGCTTTTGAACCAATTACGATAGTTAATGCTTTCTCTAATATAAAAGCAATGGGTAAAAATAAATAAACGTACTTACTGTACTGTAATATATATCGTTATTATTGTGTTTTTTTACTTATTTTCTGCATGAAACTCTTTTTATTTGTCTTCATGTCTTTTATTACAATAAAACGTGTGCAATTTTTCTTCGAATATTTAGCCGTATTTATCGATTTTTTCTAGTATAGTAAGAAGAACGTAGAGAAATTCATTCGAGAGATAAACGATATTTGCACAACGGAAAATTCGTGCGAACCATAAGAGTTTAAAGCCGAAACACTTTTATGTCTAAATACATTCTGAGATAATTTTAAGCTTACTAGTTATGAAAATCGAATAATTTTTAACCAAGTAAGGTAAATGACAGTCTAACAGACTGCATATTAATTGTTTTCAGGTTACTTCTTTTAGATGAACAACATGAACGAAGTTAGTGCACTAACAGCCAAATACAACAGAAAGAGAAAAGGCTTCTCAGCATACACGTTAAGATCTAAAAAAGTGAAATTATTCCTGTATGTCGATGCTGTCCGACTAGATATATTTTACGGCTGAAATAAAGTATTTTTCAAAATAATAGGGGTGTGTGTACTGATGTTTCAGTGTATCTGCCATAGTGACGTCAGTGCATCTTAAACTTCACTGTGCTCAACTGAAATTCAATAGATGAAATTTTGAAATTCAAACTGGAAAAATTAAAGATTTTATTTGCAAACGAGCGGTTACAAAAATATTCGTCTATTGAGTTTCAGCTCAGCAGAGTGAAGTTTAAGATGCATTGACGTCATTATGGTAGATGCACTGACACATCAGTCTACAGACCATAACTTTAGTGAAGAAAAACATTTTCGTCAACGATTTCGAAATATGTCAGTCTCACACAGCCGTCGAACATCTTTCATCGGGGCACATGTCTGTGTCCTATATCATCTGTTACAGTCTGTACTGTTAAAATTAAAATTCATCTCATAATCAGATTTACAGTTAGAAATACAGTCGAAATCTTAAAGTTACGATGGAAATCACAGTGGATTTCATTTTTTCATGGTGGATTACAGTAACAAGTCCGATTGTCTATCATGCTATTTAAAACATCGTACAAAAACGCAATGGATCAGATGAAAGTTTTAAAGACACTCAGATACAAGTTAAGATTTCGGAAGTTATGTTTTCCTTTTTTAGGATCTTTCTACAGTTACGGAGATAACCGCAAAAAAACAGAGTCCTCTGTAGGGTAGAATTTTGAATATGTCAGTAACGATCGAAGAAATGCAAAAAAGGAAAACATTCGGAAATCTTAGTTTGTGTCTACATTCCTTCAAAACTTCCATCCGATCAATTGTGTTTTTTTAATGCACCAGAAGTACGCGAAACAAGAGACCTTTTTTCATCCAGTTTACCGGTTTTTTCTCTGAACCACATACAAAGTTCATCGATCATTGAGTAAGGTCCGTGAAGTATGTAATCATGGGCTTTTCAACCTGGAAGTTATCAGTCAGATCTGTAATTTTTCCGTGGAAATATGGATTAAAATGCGTGAAAAATTACATATCTGACTGACAACTTTCAGGTTGAAAAGCCCATGATTACATACTTCACGGACCTTTCTCAATAATCGACGAACTTTTGTATGTGGTTTAGAGAAAAGTAGGTGAAAAAACCACGGACGTTTCTCTTTTCAAATTTACCGTGACATGTAACGGGAAAAATACGACATTATCTTCCTCCCACTGGTCTATTTTAACTAATGCAAAGTGATGTCACGGAAAATTCGTTTTTAGATGTCATTAGGATGTGACATTGACACAGAAAAAACGTTAACAAAATATATATAAAGTCACAGTTAAAACGTGACATTAGTTTCATGATGCCACATTTTTACTGTGGCACTACTGTGTGACTTTTTATGTTTTTGCTGTTACTTTTTTTTTACAGTGTATGCAATAAGTAAATCTAGATCTTTTTTGTTCAATGTTTCATCTTTGCTTTCAATTAGTAATATAGTAGCATAGTGTCGACGTTGAGTTTTTTACGTAGGAAACTAATGACAATTACAAAAAGGATTTTATAACAAATCAAATAAAACTAGTCAAAATCTTTGTCAATGATAGAGTTCTTTTAGATTATTTTTGTAAATATCACCTGTTGCATACATTTCTCTTACTTGTCTTTTCCACACAGACAGGGAATTATCAGATGCCGGTATACGTTGTGCGAAAAGGAAAAAAACCAGGCATCTACAATACTTGGTAAGTCGAATTGAATGAATCTATTATCGCTTGAGTTAATTTTTATTTTTGTTTCAGGGAGGAGTGTAAAGAGCAAGTAATACGTTTTTCTGGAGGTAGAAATATTCGTTCGTATACGGTTGAAAATGTTTCTATCTTTTGAATATTTCTAGCTGAATATAGAAAATGTGGAGACAACACGGAAGCCGAAGAATATTTGAATGGTGTTTCGAAAGTGAGAAGTCCAACGCCGAAATGTATATATATATTAGTCTTACGCTATATGAAACAAGCAGCAAAACTATGCTTGCTCATTTAATAGCAGAATCATTTTTCATTAAATATACACATGTAAAAAAGTATGAAGTAACTAGATACTATTTTGATCTATTTTATGACTTAAATGTCATGATCGATTACTATTTATTTTGGGCTGGAACTTTTTGTGAAGAATCTCAGTCAAATCTGAGTATCAATACCAAAACCAAACTCATCAAATTTTTACACTGATTTTAGCTGTAGTAAAAGTTTAGGTTTGGTGAATTTCTAGATATAATGTTTTGTGTTACGTAAACTACTTACAGCATTTCTTTTGCACTGATTTTAATCTACTCTCTCTCTTCGTGCATTCCAACTTCATTTTTCGTGTTACATCATGTTCGTATCATCCACACCTAATTCCTGACATCTTCTACACGCACGTTCTGATGTTCATTAATTGAGATTAAAAAACTGCACTATCTTACTGTTTATAATTTTTGGTAATTTAAACAGTTTCCTAGGTGGTGTTAAGAGAATACCCTTATAATCTTACTTATATATTAGCGATGAATGATAGTGTGTCAGAAAAAATTCATGTGTGTATATCTGTTGAAAAATATATCTTTATTGATTGAATATACTAGATTGAATAACGAAACTTCGATTCTATGACAATTGATCGCATACTCAACACTAACTACCAATAAACTTTTATGATCAGTCGATAAAAAGAAAAAGAAAGAAATTTACCTTAAAAATGAGTACAATTGCAAACTTCTAGCAAGTCTTTCCAGCTGTGTCAGAATTGTTGCTGGCGATCCTTAGAGATTTGTCATAATCTATATATTTTTCTTTGATTAAAACTTTGGTCTACATTAACTTCAGTATCTGACAATGGATATAATTTTCGTTTTGCAGACTTTCGATAAAAACCCAGAGAGAGAGACGGATGTTGATATTGAGTAACACAATCCAAACTTCAGCAGTATTATTTCGTTGATCGAATGATCGGATTTTGTTGGAGATGGCACTTGCAGGACGGTTATAGTTGACTTTTTCGAGTAGAATGGTGATGTTGACAGCTGTATGAATCTTTACATCTTATTATTCGGCTATGTTCATATTTTCAATACTTTTTTGGATCTTATGAGCAGGTCTACCAATATTCCTAATTCTTTCTTTCTTTCTCTGCTCTTTCCTTTCTAAACCGACTACGACATCGACAGTACGTTTATCTTCTTTAATTAGTTGATTAGTCTACAGGGTGATATATCAATCAGAACTTCTTTAGTAGTTAATGTTGAGTATGCAGCCAATTCTACCTTGTGACTAACAAATTGTTGCTTTTTCCGAAGATTCAATCTGTTTTTATAGCCACAAAATCAAAATTTCATGGTGCATTTGCGAAAACTATCGGAAATAGTGTAATCAATGAACTGTGTACAAAATCAAAAACAACTAAAATAAGTGTTTCATCATTAGCTGTAAATTCAAGCACAGGGAATGAACAAAGTTTGTTACTTCACATACTTTCTTGTGTTTGTAATTGTAACAAATTATGCATTTTTTAGGTTTTACAACAGTTTATACGGATGGTTGCTGTCTTTCTAACGGTCAAAAGGAATCACGTGCAGGATACGGTGTTTATTGGGAGGATAATCATCCATGGTAAGTGATAACTACATGCTCTTTTTCCTACAGAATAATAAATTTTTCAATTGTTTTTAACAGCAGCTGATGCTACACAAAATCAAGTTTGGATAGATAAAGAATAGAACCGAATAAATTTCACTTTTGCAGAAACTGGCAAAAATTAAACGTTTCCTCTCTTTTCTATATAGTATCCAACGATTGAAGTTGCGCAGGTTTTGCTCTGTTTCACAGTGCCTAATCATTTATATTGAGTAGAATAAAGGGCATGTCTAAGCTTTGCAGGTGTCTGCAAAAGTGAAATTTATTCAGTTCTGTTCGTTATCTATCCAAACTTGATTTTGTGTAGCATCAGCTACTGTTAAACACAATTGAGTCATTTCTAATAATGCCTTCAATAATTATTCTATTCAATAAATTGTGTTTTTGTTTTTTTAAAGGAATGTTAGTGAACATTTAGATGGTCCACCAACAAATAACCGAGCCGAATTGATGGTAAAATATCTGGACTAATATGTTGCTTTTATAATATTTGGATGTTCTTATATTCTTTGAGGGTTCTATTACTGCAATGGAAATAGCATTGTTAAATGGTATATCAGATCTTGAAATAAAAACAGATAGTCAATATACAATCGATGGTGAGAACTCAACGAACATTTTTCAAGAACAATGGTATTTCTATATTGTCTTTTTGTTCTCTTTTCATTTAAGCTGCAACAAAATATATACAAAATTGGAAAAAACAAAATTGGATAAAAAAATTAGATTCAACACCTGTTTTGAATAAAGATTTAATGGAGAAATTAGACAATTTACAACAACAATTGAATGTTAAATGGGTATATCTGAGTATTTTTGCCATATTTTCGTATATATTTATTTTTAGCACATACTTTTTTTAGACGTATGTGAAGGGTCATTCAAATGATCGTGGTAATGATGCTGCTGATAAATTAGCTAAAGCAGGTGCAACCAAAGTGTAATAAACTTATAATATTCAAATGTTTGTTGTACATGTTTCATTTATTACATTGAATTTTTTTTCTTTTTGAAGTTCTTTTGAGAATCTATTTATTTTTGTATGTCATTTCGTATGAAAACATAAACAAGATGCTTTTTTTTTTCTTTTTTGTTATTTTAAGTTGTCTCATTGAATGTGATATTTTGTGCATTTTCCCTGTGAGTATTATTGATGATTAAACGCGAAAGACTTTTAAATCATAGTCTAATTTTGATATATTTTGCATTACTGACAATATTGTTTTTATATCAAAGTCCAGTTTCTTCATGTTTAACAGCATATTTATTTATTTAAAAATGAAACAAAAAAATTCAATTTAAGATTTATATTATGCTCCTTTAAATAAGAATCGTTCTCTTTTTTTTAGTTGAAAATAGATTTTATAAATTTGAATATATTCACTGTATTAATTATAAATGGATGTAAAATACTTGAAATGTTTATTAAACAAGAGTAAATATTAAATAATTTCTCTTTTAGAATCTTTAAAATAATTTATTTAATATAACATTCTTTTGATGCTGCACACATACACTCTTTCAAATTCAAACGAATACGTGTACGCCAACCAAATGATTCAATTAATTTAATCATCCAATTTGCACAAAATTGTTCCACTTCTTTTTTATCTCCACTAACCGATGATGGTGGAGCATCATTTGTAACACCATTCATTAAATAATTAACATAATTTGGACAAAATTGTTCATTACAGTCTTTTGTATTACTACCAGTTACTATTTCATCACAACTTACTTGACATGTTTCAAGATAAATTGCTTGTCGTTCATCAGCTGTTGGTGGTGTTCCATTAACTTGGATAACTAAAGAAAACAATATGCTTAAATTTTTAGTACCATTTTACGAACATTTTTTTGATTGATCGAAAAATTAACCGATCAACTTAATTAGAAAATTAAGAAAAAAAAGCTCAAAATTTGATGTGATGGTGAAGTGAATGATTTGTTCTGTTCTACATCATCATTAATATACTTTAACGATTTGTCAAAAACGGTATTAGTTTTGGTCAATTAGACAATAGAAGAATATGTTTTTTCTTCTTTTTTTTTTTCGTATTCTACAAGGACCAAAAAAAATAGTGTAAATGAACTGTGATAATACACGAAATTCTTATCGGTTGATGTCAATGAGTGTGCCAAAAACCTAACAGAAGCAATTATCTTAGTTTACCATATTGTGATTTGTTGAGTAAGAAAAAGAAGAAAGTGTCATATCTACTATAATGTATTTGGATCGTAATTTCATCTAGATATTAAATTTCATTTTCTTCTAATAAAATAAATTGTCACTCATGTCTAGTTTCAATTAAATATAGATATGAAAAAACAAATTCAATTCATGCGAACAGTCTTTTTTTCTCGGATGAGTACAGTGAAAATATAGATAAAAAAGTATTAGGGCTAAAGAGTTAATTTAGTTTCAGCAATATTATAGATAAATAAAAAGAATGCTGATAAATCAAATTCAATTTTGCTCAAATAGATTTTATTTCGATCTTTTTTTCTCTCTCAAAAGAATTGTGTTTTGAACATCGTAGTTCTGTTTCTCTCTCTTCTTTAACTCAAAAACAAGCGTATGTTTTAAAAAAAACCTATATCATTGAATAGTACGACATAAATCATTGTCAAAACATTTGTACAAATCATTTATTTTCATCGGAAAAAAACTATCTACATAATATTAATGTTTAAACGTCTATTCAATAGAAACATTTCGAATAGTGTTTTTAATTGTCTGTAACGAATTATAAAATTTTCAATTAAATTTTTGAAAAATTTCTATTGAATCTGAATAAAAATCTTTCTTATATTCATCTTACAAGCTTATCCTCAAATTTAGAAATTTTACAAAAAATTTTTCAAGAGTCACTTAAATGAGGTAAATACATACGTAAGATGCACAATGAAACGGCAAGTTGGATCAAAGATAATTTTGATTTGACAACAGTGTACATTTTGTACGATCTAAAATGATGAAGAAAAATTTAAAAGATCCTCTTACCAATAGATAGGTTTGGATATCTCAAGAACTATGGTTCATTTTATGAACTAGCCTCTTAGAAAAGGCTTACGAGGGAAGGTCCCTGGCTGATATCCTCCGATTTCGATGATCGTTTGCCGATAGATACTATATGATGTCCTAGTATTAACTTCCAAAGGATTTGGTTGTATAGCTCTTCTTTCAAAAGTTATGGATTTTTTAAGATTGGCTACTGGAGATTCTAATTCATCATTGTTTACTTTCCAAAACTCGTCCACACGTGTGGTGACCAAACAAAATCTTTTAAACACCTATTCATATAGAAAAAAGTGTTCTCTTCAAAATGAGACATTCCTGAGCTCCGTGCGATATCCCTCTCATAACAGAATTCGATTTTCGATCTCCGTTTTTTGTCTCTGAGGAAAATAACCTTCAAAAAGTTAACAAAGGTCGTTAACAAGGGTCGAAAAGTTAACAAAGTTTTTCTTCATTTCTCTGAAACTTTTTATTTTCCTCAGAGACAAAAATGGCGATCGAAAATCGGGTTTTGTTATGCCCCTCTGTTATGCCTGGCTGCATTTCAAGACCAACCTGAGATTTGTAGCACTTAAAATAGCGGAGAAATCTTGGAATTATGCAATACTACAAGACAAAAATCGATGCAGAGGAATGAAAGAAAAGGAGAAAAGCAGAGTTTTAGGTGCTCTTAGAAAAATGCTTATGACTTTTGATGGGGATGTCGCACGGAGCTCAGCAATGTCTCATTTTGAAGAGAACACTTTTTTCTATATGAATAGATGTTTAAAAGATTTTGTTTGGTCACCACACGTGTGGACGAGTTTTGGAAAGTAAACAATGATGAATTAGAATCTTCAGTAGCCAATCTTAAAAAATCCATAACTTTTGAAAGAAGAGCTATACAACCAAATCCTTTGGAAGTTAATACTAGGACATCATATAGTATCTATCGGCAAACAATCATCGAAATCGGAGGATATCAGCTAGGGACCTTCCCGCGTTAGTATACAGTTGTCGCGCTAATTTGAACCGTATTTCTAATTTTTAAATGGAAACTATATCGAATATCTGTGAGATGCTTGTTTTTAACGTGAAGTAAAAAATCTCAGACAACAGCATAGAATGTTAGAGTACGGAAAACATTTTCGAGTGACAAAGACTACTGCAGACATTTAAATTTCAAATCTTCCTGATTTTTTAGAAGTGACTGGAATATATTTGATTCGCTTTCTTTATCTAAACGTTAATGTGGATACTTTGATATATTTATCTTTAGATAAATTTTTTTTAGTATAAAATATTTCTCGGACATTCTTCCGATCCTGATCGAAATGGATACTTCTAAATCATAGACAATAACAATCGCATTTTATAACAGTCACAAAATGATATTACTTACCACGATGATTATATAACTAGCTGAAAAAAATAAATAATTTTTATTCTAAATTTGACGTTTTCCTTTCTCTTTCACGAAAAATATAAGTGGATATGCGAATTATTTTATATAGAGTAATAAGAAAATAAAAGTTTTCTCTCCTTTCTCTGGTTACTTGACGGGTTTTTCTTTGTTGCTGTTGCGTATATAATCATTAAAATATATTAATCAGGCACGCAAGCGAGAACGCTTTAATAAGAGTGGTCTACTTGAAATATAAAGTTTTTTGTTTGATGTTTAGATAGAGTGACTTAATTAGACATATATCCGGTATTTGAAGCGTAAGGGAAGTGAAAATGATCTAGGTAGTAGAAACGTTTTCGGGTAAAAAAAATAAGGACATTGCTTTTACAGATGAAGGGTAGAAATGTCACAAATCATTAAACATTTCATGAGTGAAACTTAAGGGATTCATAAACAAACAGCGATAGGACTACTTTTCCGAATTTTTAATATAAACGATCTCTAACTGTGAAAGTTATAGTTGTACGATGATGACGCTCAGCTCAAGAACAAACCGTTAAACATCTAATACTAATTTACAAACACGTAATTAGCATGATTATAATAACGATTGTGATCTGTAACTGTGATAGTGAAACACGGAGAAAGAGAGACAAAGATAAGATAATTTATTACAAAATAAGCAAGAAAATGACATCGTATATAAATATATGCTTTTTAACTATCGAACAGGAATATAAAAGTGTTCTATTGTTTAGGAGAGATCTTCTTTCACAAATGAAGATTATTTTAAATTTCGGTGTTGACAAGGAAACCTCAAATGAATTTGAAACAGGACTTTTAGCTGAAACGAGACGATAAACTTTTTATACAGTCGAGAAAAAGACATAACCTCATCAAGTGACCAACCGTTTTTTGCTTGAAATATACTTTATTGCCAGTAACTATACTCTGAAAAAGAAGTCCGTCTTAAGACACGATGGATGTGTTTCGCCAATTTCTAACCGGCTTATGACGTCTTATTTTAATGTCTGAGCAAACTCTTAAGGAAAGATGACACTATCACATAGAAGCATGACAGTTTAGAATAGAAACAAACGCATTAAAAGCGAATATACATATATAAGGGAAATATGATAGAAAGACAGATAGGTAAGTTCGATTTTTCTCAGAGTGAATAAACTACCAACCTGACACAGTCTGACACGATCAGTTTTCTGTAGGTTCATTCCAGAAAGGATTATGGGAACAAAAAAATATCAGATTCATAGTCAGCATATAAAATTAGCTATAATAAACCATGTTCAGAAAGAAAACTATTTTAAGTGAATGGATATAGAGGGTTAATAGAGAAAAAATCAATACAGAAAATAAATCAATAGAAATAAATCAATAGAGAAAATTAAGTTTTACTTAAAATAAATTACACTAATCACCATCTAGTGTCTCTAAATATACAATGCCTTAGGGTAATTATGGTCAAGTCCTCAAAATTCCGTCGTATTTCTGCTACAGTTCTCTCGATTTTTATCCACAAAAAGCGCTACTTTACAGGTAAATAGCGGTGACTTCTGACTATCGACTGAAGTAAACATTTTCTTAAAATTTATTAGTGTAATTATAACTAATGAATTTCCAGAGAGCACCTTTCGATTGACCCGCTGGTAATTACCCTATTTGGAGTAATATGATCAATACGGCAAAATGGCTGCGATAATGTTAAACAACTTAGTTTCAATGGAGGATTTCAAGGAAAATAATTAAAAATTATCTCGTCTTATAGAGAATTTCAGGCTTTATCGCCCATATACAGCAAAAATGGTAAACGATAAATATTTATTTTGGGTGGTATACAACCTCCCTTCCTATAAATAATACGACATACCAATATTTGCGCTTATATTTCGTGATGCTGAATTTGCCTGCGCTAAAATTTTATCCTTCTAGAACAGAATCATACAAGGTGACAATATAATAATTCAACTGAATAAGGTATAATCTTTAAATTGAAGCATATGACTATCAATTATCTCCTAATAGCAAAATGAGAAAGTGTGACCATTGTTTGGAACTTATTTGGGTAAACCATAGCAAAAAAACAAAAAATAAGCACAAATTTCTATCCAGGACTATTCCTCTATTCTGCCACTATTCCGGTCTGTCATTATTTCTATGCCACGCTAAGTCAGTTTTTTTCTTTATTCTTTTCTACATGATATTTTATTATTTTATATGGACATGATTCGTTACACTACTCGAGCTCAAGATATCAAAGACAACGCTTGGATGTTTATTCTTTTTAACACTGGTTTGTCCATTCAAATTTAATTTTTTCTGAATACTCATATTCTATCTAGTAGATAGAAAATCTACTCTACTGAAAAATTAATTTTCTATCTTATCAAAATGTTCAACAACCAGACTATCTGGGGTTATTTATGGGCAGATCCTCAAAATTCCGTCGTATTTCTGCTACAGTTCTCTCAATTTTTATCCGGAAAAAGTGATATTTTACAGGTAAATAGCGGTGATTCCTGACTATCGACTGATGTAAACATTTCGATTGATCCATTGGTAATTACCCCGTTTGGGGTAATTATGGTCAGTCAATAAGTACCGTTGGGGTAATTAGGGTCAATACAGCAAAATGGCTGCGATAATGTTAAACAACTTAGGTTCAACCAGCGGCGTAATCAGGATTTTTAGACCATTGGGCAAACTTCTATTGTGTCGCAAAAAACGATGGGCAAACTAGGCAAGGTTTTTGTTGGTGGACCAAAACATTTGTGATCCAAAAAGAACACAAAAAAATGAAATGAAGTTTTTTTAATCAAAGATAGGCATCAAACTCAAATTTTTACTATCTACAAACTGAAATACATTTACTATCTAATTCAAAAATAAGCAAATAATTCTGTCTATCCACACTCTTACATATATCTTACTAAACGTGATATATTGAATGATATATTTCATATCTCCTAAGTAAAATTTCAATGGGCAAAAACTTCCTAATAAAAATTACAATGGGCAAATCTCCAAATGAAATGGGCAATTGCTCATGGGGGGGGCCCCCCGGGGGGGGGGGGGGGGGGGGGGGGGGGGGGGGGGGGGGGGGGGGTTGTTTGAGTAGGGGGGGGGGG